TACAACCCCAATATTATGAACAATTTCATTTCTCCGGATAGTAACAAATTAGCCTTTCAAAACACTCAATTATGGTGACCTTCTCCTTCAAGGAGAAAATTATTATTATTGTCATGATTAATATTATTACATGCAAGACATATTTCTTGACAACCAATGACAAATTTGTGTTGCCACACAATCATATTATTTTGATCATGGCCACAACCTTATAGGAAAGAATTATTTCTTTCTTTTGTCCTTTCAATTAGTTCATAATTTAACATACCACAATATTTGTGTAGTACTTAAAGTATATGACTAAATGACCATTTATGTCAAAATATTTCTTTTCCAATCTCTCAAACCTCCCGTAGAGGTGAGATGTGACATTTTACCCAACAATACATGAACATGTTCTTATCCATAAGAACACAAGTCACATTTTCTTTAAGGAAATTGAGCATAACCATTTGAACATGCTCCAGAAGTTTTTTATTAGAAACTCATTTGTCATACTTTTCACATTTTATCAAATTTTATGTTACTTACCTCAACATCACTTCAAGAGGTCAAATGTACCAAATGTACTACCACTTTGTATACCTTCATTTTGATGGAGAATTTACACAACTTTTCAAATTGGGTTGCACCAACAACAATGTGGCCAATAACTTTTCATGCTACTTTAATGGATAAAATTACCTTCACATTTGAAGGAACATCTTAAGAAACAATGTGTCCAATAACCTTTCATACCATTTAATGGACAAAGTTATCTTCACATTTGAAGGAAAACCCATAATGTTCTTCCTTTTAATTACCACAATGATGACCATTAACATTTTACCACACCCATATTCATACATTCAATCATTTGTCATTTTGCAGACATATTATGTACTGCTACCACATTCACATAAGAGAATGGAGCAAAATAGTTGGGCAAATTTCATGACTTTCAGTCAAAAGTATACAACTTTATGTTAGTCATCATCATATCACCACTATAGTGCATTAGGACTTAAACCCAATGTCTTATCCATATAAAGACATCTTTGGTCATAAATCAATGGGACTTGAACCCAACTTCTTATTATCATGGTGCACCGAGACTTTAACTCGATGTCTTACCCACTTGGTGCGGTGAAACTTGAATTCACCGTCTTACCCTCAATCAATGTCTTGATAAACCAAATACGTTACAAAAAAAATAATTATTGAAAACCATAAATATAATCTAAATTTGACTTAAAGCATTAGAAAAATGAACAAAATCAATTAATTAGAAAAACATGTTGGAATCATATAAAAGTCCCAATAAAATAAATTGAAACCTTTTAACATTCCTTCTCAATATTATTACGAAGATTAACATAATTTACTAACTTCTTTAAAATAACCACAAAACAAACTTTGTTAGTACAAATAATATATAGGATATGAAGTATACCTTGCATGAAGAATTACTAGGATAATTCATAAAAATCAAGAAATACCTACCATTGATTTGTGACGGAGAA